TCATGCTCATCCTAAGACACGGTTTGATAACAGTGAAAGTGAGACCTGGGATATATACGGAATACTCATCATGAACTTCCAACATGGCTGAAATCCACCTGGCGTCCATGTACAATCTCTTGCCAAAGCACGGATACTTGTGCAGCAAGCGTAGGGTCGGCAGCCAGGGCCCGTCTCGTTCTTGCCAAAAGAGTGGGACCTCAGGCAGCCAACGTTGGCCGCGATCCCCAGCTCTTGAGCGATGGGAATTTGGGGAAAAATGAAGAAAGTGGCTCACGTCTCTGTGCGTCCTAGTGACCATGTTTGGTACTCTATTCTGTTCATGTTCAACTTTCAACCCCATGACCATATCGATTGGTTGAACATCGGGAGGCACCCTCGCAGAAGAAGAACAACTTGAGAGAGGAGGGGGTGAACGAAAGGTAGCAGGCAATCACAAGTAACCCTTGTAGAAGTCCACGACGGCGTGAACCGGCGCAGGGGGGATTTGATCCAGGGGGGGAGGGGCCCCCCCCCCCGGACGAACAGAATCAACTCTTACAGGACCAAATTCAATGCACAATCCCAACTCCTGATTGTAATACATTTTTGCTAAATCAAGGAGAACTCAGGTAGCTCAAGCTACCTTTCGTGACAAGAAGGAACGTCGAGGAACATCCTCGATCAAACGAAGAAGGGGTACCCAGGTACCTGAAATTGAGATAAAGTGGAGCCTCGTTTCGTGAGCCTGGAGGATCATGATCTCTTGATGTCCGCATCACAACGGGGTCTTTGAGGTTCTTCTCTTGTCTCCTGATGGAGCTCTGATGCAAGGTTTGGTTTATTCTCGGGGGTGAGGAAAGAACACATCCGGATCCCACGTTGCCTTCCCGCACTTGAAATCTCAGTCAATCCTCCGATAGAATGGGAGAAAAAGTACTGGCCGAAGTCGTGTACCCTATACTTACCTCAAAGAGGGATTCTTCAAAATTAGTAAAATGAACAAAACATATCTCAACACCTTGGTGGAAGCTGAACAACAACAACAACAACAACAACAACAACAACAACAACAACAACAACAA